CATTTGGAGCCCGATAGAGTTGTTAATGTATCGTCTATTCTCGGGAGAGGAAAGCTGTCCTTCTTGGTGACGTCATTGAGCTTTCGGTAGTCTACACAAAATCTAAGACTCCCATCTTTCTTTGTAACCAAAACTACTGGTGCAGACCATGGACTATTTGACTCTTCAATGATTCCCTCTTGAAGCATGTTATCAATTTGGTTTTCCACTTCCTGTTGCTTAGCTACTGGCATACGTCGTGGTGGTTTTCTAATTGGGTTTGCCAATCCAGTATCAATTTTGTGTTGAATTAAGCTGGTCCGTCCGGTTTGATTGTCCATCACAAATACGTCTGCTCTTTTCAAGATGAAATCTGTGGCTTCTTGAAGTCTATCTGGATCGAGATGTTTCCATGATTTCGCCAAAGTCCGCATCAAGGTGTCTGTATCTAGTTTCGATTTCACAAAATGTCGCTTATCTGGTAGGTCACAGTTCGATATTTGCTCAACCGGTTCGAGAGTTCCAATAATGTCTCCTTATTTTATTCTTACTGTTTCGGAAGAAACATTGGCAATTCATAATGTCTCCATATGTTCTTACTTGAATCTTTCCAACAAGAAATCTTTCTGGTTTATCTCCAATGAAATTACGTGTTAGTCCAACGCAGCACCCAGGGTTTGTTTCTAATCTTCCGCAAATGATCTTCTCAGTACTTCCAGGAATCCTCACTGGAGTTGTGGCCAAGATCTTAACGGCATCGCATTCTTCTTGTGTTGTTAGGACAATTTCTTCATTACCAAATTTAAGGATGTTCATGGAAGGATCAAAAGAGAAACCATGTTGGCCGATCAAATCCATTCCCAAAATGAAATCATCTTCTATATCGGCGACTAATGTTCTGTGCCTGAAGGTGGTAGATCCAAAAGTAAGCTCAATCATAGCTTTTCCTTGAACTGGTGCAGATTCGCCCGTGACTGTTCGTAGTGACAGGTTTCTAGTGAGCGGTTGGATTGCCCGAGACTTGACTAATGTTTTAATTATGGAAACTTCAGCACCCGTATCAAAAGTGATGTTTTCAATTCTCCATTAATTTGTACTTCGAATTTTAATCCTCTATAATGACTGCCCAATGATTTTATGTACACAACTCTGGGGGCTTCGGCATTACTAGCCAGCATCCTCCTTTCCGTACTAGTTGGTTCCTGTTTGTTATTAGGGCTGGCGTCTCTAGACCTTGAAAAGCGTTGAGAATGATCCCCAGATGGAAAGGACATCCTTAGTCTACAATCCCATTGCAAGTGTCCAAACTTCTGGCACCGGTAACATTTTACTCGGTTTCTCGGTGGTGGTGTTTGTTTGGAGTCGTTTTCCATTTGTCTTATTTCTAGTACTAGTTTCTTCATCTTCTCCGTGAACTTACTCATAAGATTCTTGAAGCTACCATCTACTTTTGCGGTTTGTTCATCTTTTGGGTCTTGAATGGACACTGCTCGTATTCTGTGTGTTGAAGCACAAAGATTGCTTGGACAAGCGCTTCGCTACTTTTCCTGAACTTGGACATTCTTAGGTTTTCCTGGATCTTCGAATCTCTGAGACCATCAATAAACGCAGATACTGCCACCCATTCCTGCATGTCTTCCCCAGCTGCAGGAAACGCCAAACTCACTAGCCTTTTAACTTCCGTTCGAATTCTTGTAGACTCTCGCCGGGTTTATGAACTCTTGATTTAACTTGAGTTCTGAATACTTCTTGTCTGTAATGGTCTCCGAAGCGCAATTGTAAAGTTTGACTAAGACGCTGGTAATTCTGTTGGTAGATTGACGGAATGGACTGGAGAAGGTCTAAGGTAGGTCCTCGTAGCGCCACTATCAGTGCTGTAGCTTTTTCTTGATCTTTCCATCCGTTGGTATTTGCAGCAACTTCAAATTGTCGAATATACATGGTCCAAGACGTAGAACTTTCAAAAGTTGGCTATCTTCATACTGGAGAATGCTCCAACACTAACTGGATTAATGGACTGTATTTATAATTTATTCACCTTATCTTTAAGTGCTTGAACTGCTTGAACTTGGTCGTCAACTTCTTGTCTTAATTGCTGAACATCGTCTTTAACTTCTTGAACATCGGTTTTGACTTCAGCTTTCACTTCCTGAACGTCGTGTTTAACTTCTTGCACATCGTCTTTAACTTGTTCGATCTTCTGGTCTAGGTTAGCGACAGTTCCTTGTATGGTTTTAAATATTTTCTGCAGTTCTCCAATGTCTTCTTGTCATTCTTGTTGTCTTCTGGCCTCTTCTTGTTGTCGTCTAGCTTCTTCTTCTTGTTTTTCTTTTTGTCGTCTGAGTTCTTCGACTTGTTTTTCTTGTTGTCTTCCGGCCTCTTCTTGTTATCGTCTAGCTTCTTCGTCTTGTTTTTCTTGTTGTCGTCTGGCTTCTTCGTCTTGTTTTTCTTTTTGTCGTTTGGTATCTTGAAGTTCCAACATTTTGCGCAGAAGTTCTTCAACTTTTTGTTCGTCCATTCTTGCTTGTTGTCTTGTGATAGGAATATACAGAACGTTCTAGAATTTCCCTCGAACTTTCTTAAAATATCTTTTCTGGTCTTTGCTCGAAGTTCCAAATACGCCGGTGAAGTCACAAATTGGATAACTTGCTCTAATCTAGAATAGAATGTTCTGGAATTTTCTTGAAATTTCTTTTCTAGATGTCGATTGATTCAGCAAACACGTCGGTGAAGTCACAATTTCGATATCGCCCTTGGTTTCCAAATAGAATGTTCTAGAATTTTCCCGAAACTCCTCGAAAAACTTTTTCTGAATGACGAATACGTCGGCGAAGTCACAAATACGATATCTCCCTTATGCCCGATTGCACCGTCTCTCTTAACTGAGGCTTAACGATAACTATCCCTTAAATTGACAGTTTTGCCTGGGAAAATGTCACTTTGAGGAATGGTTATCTTTAAGCCTCGGTTAAGAGAGACGGTGCAATCGGGTATTAGTTTCCAAATAGAATTTTCTAGAGCTTACTCGAAGATTCACTATCACAGTCAAAATCGGGTATAGAGTCACTTCCGGGGTAATTCACACGATCGGTTGAGTCTCTTTTTGTGATTGCCACTGTTTGCACCGACTTAACTGTCCCGTTCACTTAGTGTTCAGGTTTTACACTACACTAGTGTCCCCGCACTTTCGCAATTGGATTTCACTCTGCAGTCCTTTATATCCCACTTCTGACACCAATTTTCACGGCTTTGGATTGCCTGACAGAAATCTTGGGTTCGTTTCGTTTATTCCAAAAATCAAAGTCCAATTAACACAGCAATAATTTATTCCATGTAACAATACACTCTGACACTAATTACTTTAATAACTAACTCAACAATTAAACTCTTTACAAAAATAATCACTATTTAAATCGTATCTCAGTCGAACTGAAACTTAAACTTACAAGCTTAAACCCGTCCTTATACAGGGTGTCCTACGAGGTTCTTCCCAAATGATCATTTCGGAACGCATCATCGTATGTTCCACTGTATAATTGTCATATCCTTTAACAAAGCCTTAACAAATATGGCATAGCTGATTTTGTAATTTAATTTTCTAACGAAAAATGCCATAATATACCATGAGTTACATTTAAGATTCGAAAGTTGACGTCACTTGACCGAAATTGAAGCAAAAATGGTAAAATTGGATGACAATTGTAGAAGCAGCACAGAAAGTTACCCAGATCCACAAAATTTCAATTATATTGGATGACGCGTTCCAAAGTTATCACCTGGGAGAAACGTCGTGGGACACCCTGTATATAGCCGTAATTTATTCCTGTAAATTCCAGAAGAACCGCGATCGACGTTGTTCCCGAACATCACGTAAAATCTCGAATCTGCTATGCGATTCTTGACACACTGGCGGCCGTTGCATTATTCTGGGTCTGTGGGTTTTAAAGACCTAGGTGTATACCTAGTTTTTATTGAATACGTTTATAGCTTTTTTATAAACATTTAATTATTTCAAAAAATAATGTATTCCTCTGCCATAAGCTAGGATTTTATTTATTTTCAATCATTTCACATTTTTCTTTATAGTCTAAGATCCGGCTTCACAATAACACCCCTCTTTTATTTTAATAAAATGTATTTTTTTTGCAGTAAAATGTATAGTTAAATAAATTCCGGTGTGGTTGGCAGTCCATATCCTGGCAAGGCTATTTTTAATTAAATATTATTTGATTGATTTTTTTGTCCCATTTTCGGTCATTCTTTTCCTTAATAAATTTGGTACCTATAAATTGAAGGCAAACAACATGTGGAAAACGCCACAGCATGGTTGGCTACCTTTTTCCTGGCAAAAATTCCTGCCAACCAGGTGTAAACAGGTGGGTTCAAGGAATAATTCACCCTCATTCTTTTCCCTAAAAAATCAAATATGGAAATGTAGATTTTTTTATTGCGAATCCAATGGTATATGGTTGTCTTTCCAAATCCTGGCAAGGCTAATGGTTGCCACGATTTAAAGTTTCAATAGACAATATTTTCGTTTTGAAAATAAGGCGTGACTGCGAGTGCTATATAGGTATATTATTATGTCGGAAGAGATGGATGCAGGAATAGGATAGCAGCTGCTCATGAAATGCCGGAAAAAAGAAATAATTTTTATAAAAATATTTTTATTTCCTACTGAACTATTAGAACCATATAATACCTTGGTTACGATAATCATAAACAGGGTCTTAACTCCCAAGGGAGTTAAGGATATCATAACTCCCAAGGGAGTTAAGGAATTATCAGGTGTAAATACCCACGGGCAATTGGTGCCCCTCGGGCCTTTCCTGGGGTATTAATACCCTCATAATTCCCTTGATACACAAATAACTATTTATTGTTGAATTAATCACTAATTAATGCATAAAATTATTCACTATCTGATTCATCAGAACTTGCAATATTGCAATCCAAGAAGTACATATAATTTTTGATCGCTATTTAACGCCATCAATAAAAAATTCAGAGCGACAAAATAGACAAGAGTTTGATGTTCCATACACAATTACAGGACCTCAACAAGCAAGACCTTCCGATTTTCTTGGAAGTCTTGAAAATTACCGCTTCAAAGAGGTTTTGATAAAGTTCCTGGCAAATTATTGGGAAAGTGATCATTTAGCACCTATAATACGAACAAAAATTTTTTTTATAACTGTTGAGACTCAATGCTACTCCTATCAATCGATAGAAAAACATGTAGTAAGAACTGAAGAAATCGACTATGAATGTTACCATGAAGAAGCGGATACGCGAATTATGCTTCATATCAGCAAAGTTCAACCAACTTCAAAAATTTTAGTGAAAGCTTCCGATACTGATATATTAATAATTTTGCTGGGAAACATGCATAAAGTTCCAGAAACAGAAATTGGTTTAGCGAGCTCAGGAAGTAAAACAAAAAATGATAAAGATTTTAACTGCATAAACTGCATTGAATTAGCATCAAAGTTAGGGTCCTCTCTATGTCTTAGTCTACCAGCGTTCCACGCTTTTACAGGCTCTGACTACACTGCAGCTTTCTACAACAAAGGCAAAATCAGGCCTTATAAAATACTTTCGAAAAATGAATCTTATCAAAAAATGTTTGCGTCATTAAAAGATAGTGCCGAAATTTTCATCGAATCGAATTGATTCAAGAGTTTACTGTTCTTATGTACGGAATAAAAAACTGTAAAAGCGTTAACGATGCGAGGTATCGAATTTTCCAGAGAAATTATTCTACTAATAAGAATAATGAACAATTAAAAAAAAAAATTAAAAACTTCAATTCCAACACAATTCCACCTTGCTGGAAATCATTAGAACAAAAAATTTTACGCACTATATAGGTATGTAAATTCAATGTGGCTCAATGCTACCGATCCTTACAACCTGAAGCTTGCGGCTGGTACATGGATGATTGCTTTTTAAAGCCAACTGAATTCCTCGGGGATCCAACGCCCTTACAAGTTGATGACATTTTGCAGGCTACAAATGAGGAGAATGATAACGACACTTCAGAATTGGATAGCAATATTGTAAGTTCTGATGAATCAGATAGTAAATAATTTTATGCATTAATTAGTGATTAATTCAACAATAAAAAATATTTTTATAACAATTATTTCTTTTTTCCAGCGTTTCATGAGCAGCTGCTATCCTGATTCCTGCATCCATCTCTTCCGACATAACAATATATAGGTACCTATAGCGCTCGCAGTCACGCCTTACTTTCAAAACGAAAATATTGTTAGAGGAGCGTTCTGGAAGCCGTATCTCGTCGTTTTTTTTTTTCGGCGTAGAACCAAATCAAACCTAGTAGGTTTTGTTAAGCATGTCACTGGGCATACGAAATCCAAAGTGCAGACATTTTCCCGTGGTCTCGGACTTTTTTATGACAAAAAAAGTAAAAAAAATATATTTTTAATAAAATCTGTTTTTCTTTGTTTCTACCGTCATATCTTCAAAACCGATCAAGTTATCGAAGTAAATTTTTTTTTAAATTAAAGTACATACTTAGGCGCTTTTAATAGTGCCTTCGTTGCTCACGAAGTTTTCCCCTTTATTTTTTTAAAAATCGGAAAGTCCAGGAATTACAATTTCAGGTCTTACAATTTTCACCAATCGACAAACTTTTTTATTTTTGAAATTTTTTATATACATACAGCGAAGCAAATGATGCCAAAACATGACGAAAGTTTTTGAAATTATTAGTTATTACCCAATATATATCGTTTGGCCACAGCGATTTTTTATTTGTGCGCTAAAATAATCTAACGCGAGCGAAACCCATCGCGAGACAGTATTATACCGCATTTACTCAGAGATAGGAGAGTATAATACTCATAAGACCTTATGACCACTTAGTAGGGTATCATATATTTTTAATTTAATTAAATAGAAGCGGAAATATGGATATAATACCTATAATTCCTTTAAAATATATTTAGATTTCAACAAAATGTGGCCCTAACTTTCGACATTAAAAACATTCCTGTTCATCATTTTCCTCTTCTTCAAAATCTTTAATAGTGTTATTACAAAAACGACATTTACACTCGTTACAACATTTTAGACCTTCTTGCAGGCAAGCACATTTTCGATTTTCACCATTTTTATCTGAGGAATAAATATACAGGGCTTTCATTTCAAAACTTGCCATCCACGTTATCTGCGTAAAGAGGCATATTCGTGCAAAACGCCGAAACACGTCAACAAATTTATTGGGGGGGGGGGGGGGGGAGGGGGGAGGTTTTTCACGTGAAACTGGAATCCCTTCTTTCAACCCCCTAACCTCCAGGGCTACGCTACCACACCACCTCAAAATTTCTAAATGAGACAGGGGGTCGACTGATAGATCAATTTGAAGGGCTGTTGAATCTGTAGAATTTGCCGTTTCATTTTTTGAATTTGACCTCAGTGTTGTTCAGAAATGCCTATTCATTTTTAAACACACCTGCTTTACCTACAGTTTTATTACAGCCCCGCCACCAATCAATTTGTTGACTGTTGAGGTGTTTTGGCGATTTCCACGAATATGCCTCTTCACGCAAATAAGGTGGGTGGCAAGTTTTGAAATGAGAGCCCTGTATATTGATTGTCAAACAAAATTAGGAATTGGCTTGTCATTGGAAAATATTGGAGTTCAAACCTCGTCAGATAAATTCCATACTGAACCGTCTGCATTTATAAGTGGTGTGGGCTTATTGCTACTGTACCATGTTTAAGTTGAACATAATACACCTGCAGGAAATTATAGAATATAGCTACTAATTATAGGAAATGAATTGTGTTATATCCTACTGAACTATTAGTAACCATATATATCTTGGTTACAATAATCATTAATAGGGTCTTAACTCTCGCGCGGTGGTTAATTATTTCATAACTCCCGCTTTTACCTTGGATGGTACAACTTTGAGAAAAAATTGAAATTTTGGTTTATGGTTTATTCCTTTATAAAAATAAACAAAATACAATAAATTCAGTAGGAAATAAAATTATCTATTCACCACGGAAATTATCAGGTGTTAATATCCACGGGCAATTGCTGTCCCTCGGGCCCACAAACTTTGCCCTGGGGTATCAACCACCCTCATAATTCCCTTGATACAGCAATAACTATAAATCCATTTTGACCTTAAAAAGTGGTGATAAAAAGCGCGTTCGGTTGGATGAATCTCCGAGGATGGTTTGTTTGTAGTTGTTGCTAGTTTTATCCGCAGGTCATTTAGTTACTGTATTTGTTTGTCTTGGTTTTTGTAGAGTAGAAGAACCAATTTTTTAGGCGAATTCCTTAGAGCAGATAAAGCGCACTCCTACAGACATAAGGAGTAGGAACACGCGATTTTGCTATGAAACTAAAGTGAAGCCAGTTTTTAGCAGGTGTTTGTACACCAAACGACAGGTAAAGCATTGAATTAGCTATACCGCCATTATTTTGGATCTCAAAATACCTGAAAAAAAGACGGTTACATTTTCCTATTCCATGTTCCTTGTTCTCCCACTTAGGAACTTGACTACTCTAAGGCGAATTCTAATGCTTTGTCATGTGACTGCAGTGACAATTATTCAGACATTTCTTGAAGAACGGCAATATTTTTTTTAGGAACATCGAAAGCAGAGTTTGAAATTGAATTTCGATGAGACAGCAACAATATTTTTTAATTTCTTAATCCCGCCAATAGCACACAGTACTATGGATAGTAGTCAAGTTGTCTAGCCATGGCGCGAGAGTATATATATATAGATGATATTAGGTAAAAACTAATAATTTCTAAAACTTTTGTCATGTTTTGGCATCATTTGCTTCGCTGTATGTATATAAAAATTTTCAAAAATAAAAAAGTTTGTCGATTGGTGAAAATTGTAAGACCTGAAATTGTAATTCCTGGATTTTCCGTTTTTGAAAAAAATAAAGGGGAAAACTTCGTGAGGATTGAAGGCACTATTGAAAGCGCCCAAGTGTGTACTTTAATTTAAAAAAAAAATTACTTCGATAACTTGATTGGTTTTGGAGATATGACGGTGGAAACAAAAAAAAACACATTTTATTAAAAATATATTTTTTTTACTTTTTTTGTCATAAAAAAGTCCGAGACCACGGGAAAATGTCTGCACTTTAGATTTCGTATGCCCAGTGACATGCTTAACAAAACCTACCACGTTTGATTTGGTTCTACGCCAATTTTTTTTTTCTCGAAAACTAAGCGACTTTCGGCCACAGATTTACTCGGCTATGTCTATTGAAACTTTAAATCGTGGCAACCATTAGCCTTACCACGATTTGGAAAGACAACCATATACCATTGGATTTGCAATAAAAAAATCTACATTTCCATATTTGATTTTTTAGGGAAAAGAATGAGGGTAAATTATTACTTGAACCCCCTGTTTACACCTGGTTGGCAGGTATTCTTGCCAGGAAAAAGGTAGCCAACCATGCTGTGGCGTTTTCCACATGTTGTTTGCCTTCAATTTATACCAAATTTATTTAGGAAAAGAATGACCGAAAATGGGACAAAAAAATCATTCAAATAATATTTAATTAAAAATAGCGTTGCAAGGATATGGACTGCCAACCACCCCGGAATTTATTTATCTATACATTTTACTGCAAAAAAAATATATTTTATCAAGAAAAAGGATGAGGGGTGTTATAGTAAAGCCGGATCTTCTACAGAAAAGTCGAAACGAGTTTTTGAATTTTTAAATAACTTTTCTCGTTTTAAAAGTTCCACCGATTGTTCGTTTTCAAATTATAATATTGTGACACCAGCCTATTTGGAGGTTGTTGATATCTTGAATAAAGTGGACACGATTGTGAGCAAAATTATTGAGACGCTTTATTGAGTTTCGCTCGCTGATCTTACAAAGCTGGTAACTCTGCGACAATTGATTTCATTCAGTTTCACATTTATTACATAATAAAAGCCTAACTAATTCAATATTCGTAATAATTATGCTTCGCTGTCTGCATGGCTCGTCTCGCGCCTCTGTTTTGGCCTAGTATACAGGATGTTCTATAGCTGTGCTACTGAGTTCTTGTCGCAATATTCTGCCTAAGGTCTTTTGCAGTGTGTGAATAAACCTACCAGGCTTAGTCAATCGCGAAAGTCGATTCTGGATTTGTTTCTTTGCTCTAAGCATCTTACTATAGCAGATTGCGATGTTATAATATGAGTTGAACATTCATACTGATCATGTGTTAATAACCCTTTCAATATCCACAAATACTTCTCAAAAAGAACAAAATTTCATACTGAAACGTTGTTAACATAAAATCGATGAAAACGATTACAGCAATGATTTGTAGATATAATATTGATTTTATGCCAATTTTTAATTATAATAACATTAATTAAAGACTTTTTCGTTTATTCGATAAACACGCACTTTTGCGAAAAATTACTTCCAACAAAAAAAAAAAATATTGCCCCTGAATCACTCCCAATGTTAGGCTTATGATGCGTGTGACAAGGCACACAGAAAGTTTGAACTGACTAAAAATCCCAATCATTGGGATTATAACAAAGATTTAAGAAATTACACAAGGTCAGCTTTGACACGAGAAAAAAAGCCTATATTGAGATATCAGCAGATAAGTCAACAAAAATCCTTTTTCGTGAACTGAATTCAGTAAATATTGCTCC